AAAAATGCAATAGTCATGAAATCCCAAAATGGGCCTTATTGTAAAAAAGCTCGTTATAGCCCGATATGATATTCGGCCCATAGCTGGGGTTTAACCTAAGCACAGATCCGTAACCGTAAGTGCGTGACTCCGGTCTCCCCCTAAAATCTGAAGCTTAGGGATTAGGGTTTATTTCACCATTGGAGCATAATTCCGAAGCGTTCATAATCTGAAAATCTAACAACGTGAGTGTCACTTTGTGTTCTCCGGATTTACTGTAACTATGGGAAAAGCAAAGAAAGCCCCCAAATTCGCGGTGATGAAGAAAATCGTCACCCACAAAGCTATTAAACAGTATGATTCTCGTCCTTTATGCATATTTTATTTCGTTTTGTTGGATTCGTGCTAAATAAGCTGCCAATTTGGATCTTTTTGTTTCGCAGTTACAAAGAGGAGGTCATAAACCCTAACAGGAAGGATTTGAGCAAGGAAAAGCTCCCCAAAAATGTGTAGGTTCTTGGGTTTTTAATTTTGTGTTATATGGTTGTGTTTCATGCGCCCATTTCAGCAATTTCAGCTGAAATTGGTGCGACATTTTTATTTTCTGTTTCCTGCGATATTTTAAATTTGATTGTATGTTATATCTTTTGCTCTTCCGGTTATTGCTTAGTATTGATTTAGGTCTATTTTTCAAACAGACCACAAGTTTCCTCTGCACTTTACTTCAAGCACAATACTGCATTGGGGCCACCGTACAGGGTCTTGGTAGATACAAACTTCATAAATTTCTCCATCCAAAATAAAGTGAGTGCTGCAAGTATCTTCTTGTCATTTTTACGCATTTTGTGAAATAATATGTTTTCTGTTGGTTAAATAAGCAAATAATTAAGAGTTGGGGGAACCCTGTAGCATTAGTGTCCCGAAAGTTTGAATTTTAAAAACCTTGGATTTTTAATCTGAACCGTCTTTCATATCTGGCATTGGCTTGGGAACTAGTTCTCTGTCATGATTGACCAATCTCGATTGTAGAAACTTTGTTATTATGCAAGCAGATTAACACAGTTTATCATTTGGCCCAATGTTAGTAGTATCATTGTATCATCTGCTTTTATTGTTCCTCTCATCTGTAGTTATTCGGTTAAGTAGAGAACTTGCAATTGTTTAATATATGTGGTATTTTCTGTTTATTCTAGCAGCCGCTACTATCCTGATTGTCATCTTTATGTTTTGTACAAGCAACACCTGTTAATGTAGGAAGAAGTTTTCCTGTATTTTCTGTTCTGCAGGATGCATCTAGTGGTGTAATTTTGCTTTATGTTTATCTTCTTACTGAATTTTAAAATGCAGTTGGATTTAGAGAAAGGGATGATGGACTGCTTATATGCGAAATGTAAGTCACGGTTCCATTTAATTCACACTATAAAATTGCTGTGTTTGCGGCATGTTAGTTTATGCTATTTGTAAAAACGTGTGCTGTGCATAAATTTCTAGGTCCATCGGTTACTGTTCCCTCCTTACCCCCCGACCATTTTTTTGAGATTTTTGTGTGTGTGTGTGTGTGTGTGTGTGTGTGAGTGTTTAAAGATAAGATTGTCACTAAAGCTAGAGGTGTCCAGTATTTGAATAAACATAGTGTGTGCGCTCTTTGTTAAAGACTACATTAGAGTTTGCTCTTCTAAAATCGCATGTGTTTTATCCTTCTTGTTGGCTTTGTATCGTGATCAGTAAGTTCGTATCTGTTCTTCTCATTTTGTAGGTACTCCTTGCATCACAGACTGTGTTATGGCTGAGCTCGAGAAGCTAGGTCAGAAGTACCGAGTTGCTTTGAGGCATGTTCTCCTTGTCACCTCATTTGATCTTTGTTTCTGTTTTTGTTTTTTGTAATCTCTGTTTAGTTTTTTTTAACCATTTTATAGAATATACTGATCCATATGATGAGATATTGATGTTATCTGAAGCTATGCAGATGGTTTATTTTATTTTTCTAATTACCAACCAGTGTACTACACTTTGTGAATTAAAATTTAATCAGCAATTTAATTTTGAACTGTGATTTTTTTTTCTCATGTAACCAATAATGTATGCTGCTGGAACCTTCTTTTTATTATTTTCCTTTCTTATCAATAGAATTGCAAAGGATCCTCGATTTGAGAGGCTTCCCTGTACGCACAAGGGAACTTATGCTGATGATTGTCTTGTTAATAGAGTTACACAGGTAAAAATATTATCGACATTCAGCTCAGTTTTTGATTATCGACATTTTGATTATGTTTTCATGAAAGTCCTATAAAAGTATCATATATTTCTGTTTGTGTAGTTCTAACATTGATTGAGATGGGATTTTTCGTATAAATAACTAATAAGCCTTCGTGACCCATTGCAACAGCATAAGTGCTACATTGTTGCGACCTGTGATCGGGACTTGAAGCGAAGAATTCGTAAGGTAGATAAGGCGGAGTTTTATTTCTGCTATTATACATAATTACAAGAAACACCTTTGAGGTTTTTCTTAATTGAGAAAACAATAGTTATATATATATATATATATATATATATAAGTTATATATATATATATAAGTTGTAAATATTACATCTTGAGTTGCATATTTGTAAAATGAAGTAATAAACTTCTCTTCAAATTATAATTTGTCAATAATATGGAGTGTCTATCAACAGGTCCCTGGGGTACCAATCATGTATATTACTCGGCACCAATATTCAATTGAACGGCTGCCTGAAGCTACGATTGGCGGCGGTAGGAATAAAATAAGAAACTCCATTATATATATATATACTTTATTCATTCTTATATTTCTTGTTTATTTATTTATGCCATGTGTTCCGGTGCAGCTCCAAGAAATTAAGACAATGAGCATCAAATCATGCCTGTGCTTGTTTTGACCGTAACTTTCAAAGTTCTCATATGTCGACCAACCATTATCGATTGTCCTTTGCTCTAAAGATATACAGAAGGTCAAGTAATACAAAACGAGGGAATTCGAGACTTTGGAGATCATAGTTTTGTTATTGTATCTGTGAAAAATAGCTTGCTTTTGTGTCTGTTATTCTAAAATTATCAGGGGCACGAGTTTATGCATTGTGGGCACTGGGCACCACTTTTGTACTGAATTTTTGTTCTTGGGGTGAAAGTTTACCTTAAAGCCACAATTTTTGATCATCTGATTCAATTATCTTTTTGGGTTTGAAAATTTGTCAGTCTTACTAAGAACTCCATTTACCTGTGATCTGTGAGGGTTACGAATACACATTATTAGCAATTTTTGCACTCTCTTTGTGTGGTGAATTGCACTTATTTTTCTGTCCTCCCACTTTTTTGTAGGGAAATTACTGATGTGTAATTATTTATTTTTTCGGTAAGAATAGAGAAAAAGCAATGGGATCCACTTTGTAGTGAAAAGTTAATAGGTGGAGTTGTACTGTTGTAGAATATTCATAAATTTATTAATTAGAAATATCCCTTTTTGATGGTTGCTGATAAATTTTAAAAGGTTACTTTTGTTATTGGTTTCAACTTTCAAGAATGTAATGTTTGTCTACATTTTATGAAGGGGAATGACAAATAATTGAGTGGTGGAGTTGATAAAGAAGGGGCTAATTACAAGTATTATTCACAAGTTGCAAGTAATATTGTTATGAAGTTGGGGTTAATTACAAGCATTATTCCTAAGTTGTAACAAAGTATATTGGTTTACATATTTTCACATGAAAGCGAGGTGGTTTAAATAGAGGATCTAAATAGACCCATCCAAGTTATAATATTTGAATTGATCTAACTTATATTTATTTATCAAGTGACACGAATTATTTGTTGGCAAAATTTGAATAATTTATTTTGATAACATTATAATAAACATTAGTAACGAATGTTTGTAATGTGTATTCAATCAGTAAATCATTATGACAATATGTCACGACTCATAATATTTTCACAAGTATAATTTTTCTCAATCGCTATTCACCGCCCCCCTTTTACTAGTCACCGCCCCCCCCATTTACTCTTTTGCCCTTAACCCTTTTTTGGATTTCATCTCTCTAAACTTTATCTCTCTAAATTTTCCGAACTTCAACGAACGATTCGAGCATCAAAAAAAATCCGAAAAAATGTCGAAAAAATTCTACGGCCTCGGCAAAGGATTCTTCTCCAACAAGGTAATTTTTTTTTTTTTTTTT